ATCTGCTCCAGGTTGGCGCCATCCAGCACGGGCGACAGCGAGCGGCGGAAGAGCCACGTGGTGCGGCCCAGTGCGAAGAAGTGGTCCTTTGGCGCCGTACCTGAGGGGGAGATGGGGCAACAGGGAGAAGCGGCCAGGAATTTGGGCTTCGGGTTCGGGGTGCAGGGTGCAGGGTACAGGGTGCAGGTTAAGGGTGCAGGGTGCAGGGTGCAGGGTGCAGGGTGCATGGCGCAGGGTTTCGGGCAGAAGATCATGACGCCATGCCTGGCGCAAGCAGGGGGAAGGCTGCTGCTGGCAGGGGTGGGGCTTGCCGCGTATTGATTCGTCTTTAAAAGGGTCCAAAGACGCACCTTTTGAAAGCGGGTTGCCGCCGAATCCAGCGCGCCAAGTCGTCATAGTACTCGTCGATGGTGGTGTTGGAGAAGCCCAGCACGTGCTCCAGAGCAGACCTGCGGAGAGACGGAGGGGGAGGGGATAAGTACGTGCAGACGTCAGGTGATTCCGCTTGAGCAGTGGCGCTAGACAGCCCCTGCCCTGTTCCGGGTGAACTCATCCAGAGAGGCACATGGGAGAGAGCAACCGAGCGGGAGGCACCAGTAATAGGAGACCTGTTGGGCGGCGAACAAGTGGGAAAGACGGCCAGAAACGCGCAAGACAGGGATCCGAGGGTACAGCCTCACGCGCCTACAGTCACATCCCTTACAAGGATGCACCTGCACAGGACGGCACTTACCAGGGGGGAACGGCACCTACCGGGTAGAAGGGGACGTAGAAGAGGTGCGCCTGGGCGGCGTGCGGCGTGAGGCAGAGGTGGTTGCTCAGGCGGTGGTGCAGCAGCAGCTCCGTGCTGTACAGCGACGTGGACCACCAGTGCGCCACGCCCGCGTACTCGGGCTTCTGAGAGACGGTTGGGAGGGTTGGGAGGATTGGGAGGAAGTAAGTTGGGGAGTATGGGAGTTTGGACAGCTGTGATTACGTGGGAGTTGGGGAGTTTGGGGAGAGGGAAGCGGAAAGTGAGAGGCTAGAGGGGGCGAGCGAAAGAGCGTACGAGCACCTTGGAGTTGTACAGCACGCCCATGCCCCATGAGCTCAGCTCCGCACACCGCTCGCCTGTGTCTTTTGAGTTGACTCAGGTTGACCTAGAAGCCTTTTGGACGCACCTGGGAGTTGTACGGCACGCCCATGCCCCATGAGCTCAGCTCCACACACCGCTCGCCTGTGTCTTTTGAGTTGATTCAGGTTGACCTAGAAGCCTTTTGGACGCACCTTGGAGTTGTACGGCACGCCCATGCCCCATGAGCTCAGCTCCGCACACCGCTGGCCCGTGTCGTCGCGGCCACGGCACTTGGCCACCACGTCCTGCACGCGATGAGCACAGGTGACGATGGCAGATGGCAAGCAGCAAATTAAGTTACTTTTGAGTCGACTCCCAATGGAAGAATCCATGATTGGACGCCTGAGACTTGAGAATCTTCACAGGTTATATGATTGGAGACTATTGGAGAGGTGCGATCGCTATCTGGAGCGATTGACGTTGTTGCTCCAGATAGCGATAGCGATAGCGTAATCGCCGATTCATCTCTCAGCGGCAACGTAATGGCAAGAATAGCCTGACTATTGACGCTGAGAGATGAATCCGCGATGTCACAGGGGATGACGATGGGTTCGCAGTTTCCTTTTGACATCACTTTGATGTCTACAGGAGTTCATGGCTACAGACGATATCTACAGTTGGACCCGTCATTATTATTCACGCATCTACTGTATGTTTATACACCTTCCGTATGTTACACGCCTAAGCGTTAGTCACGCATCTTACTGATCGTCACTCACCTTATTGAATCTCGCAGGCAAGTCGTACATGTAAATGTACCGGCCCTCGCACATCCTGGCGATCGTGTTGGGATCGGCTTTCTTAGTCTCCGCTTTCTCCGGCACGTCATAGTGCAGCCACGTCACCACGCCTAGACATATCACGATCAACGAAAACAGCCGAAGCCTACTCGCTCGTCCGCTCCCCTTTGCCGGGGATCCATATGATTTCATCATCTCAGTACGGGGTTCGAACCTAGCACTAGAACCGTGAAAGGCGAAGGAAAATATCTTCCTCGTAAGCCTAGCAGTTGAAAGAACGATACTTTGACGCCTTTACTTCCATAAAGTTAACAATCGAACAGCTAGCCGCTTTTCGCTGGCTGATGGGAAATGGTCATTCAACGACTCCTCTGAGTTCAGCATTCCTGACAGCTACCCATTCCAAAAGACGAATACTATTATTCTAAAGCCACATCGCTGATCTGAATTAGTGTTACTCGTGTCGACCCAAAAACAGCAAACAATAGCAGCAAGTACGCGGCACGTCTGCTGTGCAATGAGCCTTGTGCGTGTGCTGAGCGTATGGCTAATGCGGCAACAACGAGAACACTACCTCCATATGATGCCTGAACCAGTTCCCAAGCAGTCATTTCTCGTTTCCCCTCACAAGCTCCAGCAGTCGACAAGCCCAAGGGAAGCCAAACAAATCTCATTGAGCTGCCTCAAGGTCGTGGGAAACAGCTTGTGATCATAATGGACGGTTGAGATCTCCCGTATTTGTATCGAGCCTCTGATGTACGTTCGGAGTTCGAGGCAGGTCTGACAAAGCGCGCCTGGTTCAAGGCCCGCGGAAGCGGGAAGAAAGCAAATGTTGAGGGAACTGAACCAAGCATGTGCCGTGGTATGGGAATGACGAGCCAAAGGGTATGGTCAGGGAAGGCTTGACGTGGCCACAAACATGAGCTGATTTGAACTGGCGGTTCCGCTTCCGTGGGAGATTGGTCAGGACAAGGGAGACGTGCCCGCAAAGACTGTGATAGCGAAATGGAATGGTATTCTGTAACTCAGCTCCTACGAAAGCAGACAATCATTCGGTATGGCCCTTATGAAGGCACTCGTTTTCAAGTGAATGACAATATGATATCTAAAAATTATAACAGAATTACGTTAGAAATACATTGTGCGTGATGACTCCAGCTGTCTGTCAACCACTCCGAGCTGGCAACTGATGGTCAGGGCTATAGCTGATTACTTGGTCATGAATCAAGCCATAGATGCTCATGGCAAGACAGGCTAAGACCCCCATCACTCCATTACTTGTTCAGCTGGTGCCATGGTGGCACAATTCGGCTCTGATAGTCTCTGCAAGTTACAAATTCATGAGCAGTATTCACAAAAAAAAGGAGGTTGGTAGACAGACACAAAATATGATTTCTTACCGTAACGGCACCTTGCGCCTTGGCTCGAAGACGAACCAAGGAATGGTCTTGAAGAGCGTTCATAGAGCACACGAGATGCTCAAACCTCTCTTCCCTGGGAACTGCCTCCTTCACAACTGGGGGGAGGGAAGCGCAACTGCAGGCATTGATGCAGCTTTCCAAACACCCATAAGAATGCAAAAATACACACACAAAAGCTTTTATAAACCCAACCTGCAGAATTTAGTGTAGACTATATGAAGGACCCTCCCTGGTATGTACAGGCGTCCAGGATTCTGATAAAGCACCCAGGATGGGACAAGCGTGTCCTTCATACATGAGAACGCCAGGAGACACGGCAAGCTGCACACAGCACAGCTGCCGTGAGTCCCTTGAACCAGAAGGGGCAAGTTTTACAGGAGACTTACAAAGACTTTACCATAATGCGGCCCCGAAAATGAGCTGAAGAGGCAATGCTGTCCGCGGAAGGAAATCGTCCTGCAGTGACGAGGTAAGAGCGCTCCCTTCACACAGCACCTTGCACGAGAGGGGAAGAATTTACTAGTTTCCGATGCAATTCTTCTTATCTTACCTGAAGCACAACGGAGGTGATGAAGTCCGAGTATTTGACAGCCAGGTTCAGAGACACGACCCTTGGCGGTGCGAAGGCTAGGCAGTGGAGCTTTCCAGGTGGCAGATCTCCAACTCGATCCAGCGAGCTAGCGAGGAGAAGGGTGAGCAGCGCGGCTATTCCGCTGCCCAGCGAGTGGCCGCTGGTTGTCAGGCTGAACCCCGGATTCGATTGTAGCAGCTCCTTCAAGGTGTCCGCCTCTCTTTCAAGCAACCACCAGGCTGCCTGGAGAAGGCCCTTGTGGGCGAAACCATCTTCAAGCCTCTGTAAAAATCCTAGTGTTAACCAAAATTACGGAGTTTAGCAAGGCGCCTAGGGAGCCGAAAGAGAAACATAGACTCTGCGTTCGCAAGGTTCAGAAAAAGCCTGTGCTGCGCTCGTTCTGGCAGAAGGATTCTACTGTGGTCCTTATCAGGGACTTACCTGCTGCCCAGTACGGTTGTTGAGCAAGACCGCGTAATCCGCCTCGTGGGTGAGGTGAAGACCGCGAATGGCGACGCAGATATCTCTCGCGTCAAGATCGAGGAATATGGTGTACGGGGGGCACTGCCCCCTCGTGTCATCGTACGAAACGGATTTCACTACGCACGCTGGCGGTACGGGATCGCTGAAACGAGGCTCCGTTACATCTCGCTCGTACACGGAGAGAACGAGATTCGAAACGCGGGTGAGCTCCTGAACGTCAGGTAGCGTCGCTTCGGGCCAGGACGCGCTAGTGAAGGAGCCGTGTAACCCGCATCGGATAAACGCGTACTGAGCACACACCGCGGCACACGCTGACGCGCCGAAAATTGCGACCTCCATGCTCGTGAAGGACATAAGAACTGAGCAGATGCTTCAGATGAAAATAGAGATCAGTTCCCCGATGCGCTCGCAACCTCGCGGGCGGACATGCCCCTGCATCGTGGCTGTGGCTATCGCTCGTCACCACCTCCGCTGTAAAGTTAGCCTTCCATATTCGACAGAAACGAAGGAACCTGCTATTTTCTCAGCCTTATGGATGTTATCATAGCAGGTGGCTGGACTTGGTGCGTGGAGAACGGAGCCATGCATGCAAGGTGGTTGCCTGTGAAACGTGACATTTAGGGCGCAAAAATCCACGAGGGCTGTAAAATCTGTTAAGGCGTGGAGGACATCTCTGCAGGTCTGGTTCAAGTCTCTCTGGTACTCGATAAAGGATGATGCCGTAGTGCTAAGGGTTTAGCTTTATCCACTAATTTCATTCTGTATGTCCGTTTCCAGAACAATTGCTGCCGGCGGTTTGTCAGATGCGTCAGACTGCCTCTGACGGCCATCGTCACGATTTTCTCACCATGGGGAACAGAAGTGGCTTCGCAGCAAGAAGCCCACGTTCATGCGACGAGAGAAGCCCCCGCGCGAGATTTCGTCAACCTTTTTCGTTAGCAGTATAACGACGTGCCTACGTGGCGAGGAAATCCACACACATTGGCGACGCAAGGATTCTGAGGCGGAAAGCACTTCCCGAAGCGCACATGCTGACCAACCGACACATTGAATTCGCGCAACAGACATTTGAGATTTCCGAGAGACTTTCTGCTGACAGCAGAAATTCGAGGCACCCACAGCAAGGGAAACCCATGCACATATGCATGTGGGAAGCTCACACGATGCAAAGAAAAGACGCGTGAAACGAGCATCGAGGCAGGAGACTTAGGTTTTACGGCCTTTCCTCTTGTGGTATAATTAGTCACAGAGCCCCGTGACAACAAAACTACACACCGTCACCATCGGAATTAGCACATTCTGTCGCGCTTTTAGACACTGCCGACTTCAAACGCCCAGGACTCAATTAGCTTAGCCCCACGAGAATGACTGTTTGCAAGGGTAAGGCCAATCCCGATGTTTTGCAATCGGCTCTCCGTTCACAAAGAGATTAGATGCACGCTTTCCTCGTCCGTTAGGAGGCACAGGCAGTAATTATAAAGCAATCCCTGACTCTCTTGAACTTCCCGTTAATTATTTCACCCGCGATGCAGTGCGGACGGCGTTTGCCGCTTTGGTTGTCCTCGTGGCCGCATCGATCCCGCCTGACGTGGCGGCATGGAGAGTGAGCTGCGCGGCGGGCGCCAACAAGACTCCCGGCAAACTCATCAGTACGCTTTTATTTAATTTCCAAACACCCATTGAACTCCTCAATACCGCTGGTCGTCGCGCTGTCCGTAACTGCCAAAAGACCCGCGCTAACCGCTGCCAGTGACTCAGCCGTTTGTTCCAAGCCCGTCATTGATCCCACGTGGCATTTGCTTGCCCCGTTTCGCCTGTTTGAATCTATGTGCCAGGCGAGCTGCAAACAAGTCTCGAGAAGGAGAAAGTGCCCGCCTGGACGTTCGGCCGACGCCAAGCCGACGGGTTCCTCCAGATACGCGTGTTCAGGTGAGAATTCACGCCTTGGTCTTACTTTCGTGGGAGGTTCCTGAGTCTTTTCCGAATCTGCGTCTCCAGGTCAGAATCCGCGGCTTGTCTTACTGCCCCAGTGTGACACTCTGACGTCGCACGTAGAAATCGCGCAATGCAGACGTCGCACAACTATCATCTTGTTAGTGTCGCAGGACGCGTTGCCCTAGGAACCAGCAAGAAGAGACGAAATACGGAACGATAAGCATGACCGCAAACGGCAATAACCCTACCAACAATTCCCATGTGCATGTTCGTCCCACATCTTCATCCACTTTCCCCCTCCTGCCACACTACCCCACCCTACCGCTCGTGACATCAGGACGACGGACGCGATAAACGTGAAATTCGATTTACGGATGGAGAGCGTCTACATGCCGATCACGCGCACCATTAATTTCGGGCCTAGGGGCTCGTTAGGCCCCGCGCTCGTCAGCATCCCGGGCATCCCCAGCCTCAAGAACTGGCGCGACAGCGGCCCGAAGATCGTTTCGACCGGGTGGATCATGAACGCGCATCGCACGCCGTCGCTCAACGACGCGAACGTGACTGTAGCGGAGGTGATTGAGAAGATGGATGCGAACCCGGGCGCGTACTACGCGTCGATCACGACGCCGATCAACGCACTGGGGATCATTCGCGGGCAGTTCAGAAGAGATTTCTTCCTCTCGTGCCGAAACTTTTGAGCGGGCCTACACGCGATGGCGGCTGCCTGAAAGTCTTCAGGTCTTCACTGAAGCTGTACTGTACTTTCGAAAATAACTATACTGTGAGACTAGCTTACCAGAGATGACAATAATGCTCATCGCGAATAGATATGTCAGATGCAGCGGGATCGGAGAAACTAGAAGGCAGTCTCGTCGCTAGGAGAGGGCTTGGCTTCGCAAATTTAGTGCTCAACGATTCTTGCAGTAGACCCACTGCGAATCATGTGATTAATGTTTAAGCAAAACCGAGTTAACCCAAGATGATCACTGCTATATTAACTGTCATAAATGGCACAAACTTACACGTAGTACATTTGTGTATTATTATTAAACCTACATGAGCAGGAGCGACGCAGCTCTCTCGCTCTAGTGTATGAAGTCCCAAACACTCATGCTGTTCCCTCCCCCGAGCACATCAAACACAGGGTGATGCACATGCTGGTTTTGCTGCTGCTCCTGCTGCTGCTCCTGCTGCAGCATGCCTGCTTGCAGCTCGTCCACCCCAGCCTGCTCTCCCCCCTTCGCCCTGCCCGTGCCACACAGCCCACCAGGTGATGCCATCACTCCCTCCCATGGAAACCTCTCCCCCTCCACCACCTCCCCTGCCCACTCTCTCGCTCCACCCACCAGCATCACGCCTCCCATCGGTGCACCAGGAGGCGGCTCAGCAACGCCCCCCCCCATGATCTCATAAGCTCCTCTCACCGACGACTCAACGCCGCTGCTGTTGAGACACGACCCCATGGGCGGCACATCCAAGGCCGCATGAGGGTCCTCCTCACTATCCTGACGTCCCTGGCGGTCCTCATGATGCGGCCGACCCCACGGGCACAAGTCCATTTCTTCCCATGACAGGAAGGTGACGTCATCCAGCCCTGCAGGGGGGACGGGAAGCGCTGCAAGGGGATCGGGGAGCCATGCCACGCCACTTGTCGCCACGGCGCTGTCGTCAACAGCGCTGCTGCACTCCACCAGCCGCACAGCACCGGCCATCATGGCACCCTGCGCGTCCTGCGCATCGGAACAACCCTCCGCAATCACGCAGTGCGGCACAGCAGCAGCCATAGAATCGTCCCACACAGCACTCGCCATGGCATCCTGCGCAGCGCCACATCTCCCACTCTTGGGAGTCCACAGCAGAGCGGAGCACAGCTCGGTCGCATCCGCGCATCTCATCGTCGTACTTTGCCACTCCTGGAGGTCGGTCGCCTGCTCGCCGTTTGCCGCTGTCACACCGGCGCGGTGTGCCACGTGACACGGAATTTGTGCGGGCGGTCGCTGCTCATTTTCTCTGCATTTGCCGGGGAGCAGATTGTGGGTATCCCAAACGCACACACACCGAGGGGCGTACGGTGGGGCGAGCGACGGAGCATCTCCCCCCTCGGTTGTGCCAAGCGCCTTCGCAAGAGTTTTTGCAAGCCTCCAGGCTCTCGAGCTCGGAGCTGGCTCCAGGGTGGCCTCAACTCTCTTGCTGCTGCTCACCGCCACCCCCGCCTTCTCGGGTCGCGCCTGTCGCTTGTGGCCGCGGGGGGGCGGCCCGCGAGTCTGGTGGTTGTGGGCGTGGCGGTACAACGTGGTCACCGCGATGGGCTCGCGGCCGACTGAGTCGCTGTTGGCGGTACTAGTAGGGTGCGTTGGATCAAAGTCGACGGTTTTTCTTGCGGGGCAGGCGTCTGAGCTCTTGGACCAAGCGCACCTGTAGTAGGACCTGTGTGGGGGAATAAGAGAAAACACGTGAGAGTGAGATAGGTACTTCTTATTGGGGATTAAGGCAACCTCAAGTTGATTTTTTTTCTGGCGGGGTAGGCTGAGCTCTTGGACCACGCGCACCTGTAGTAGTAGTAGGAACTGTGTAAACACGTGAGAGTGAGAGTGGTAAACACGTGGGAATGGAGACAGCCTCAGGTTGAATATTTACCCCTTTTTTTTTCTAGAAACGTCACGAAAATGTGGATCGCACCTAGGTATAGTTGTTCGTACTATTGAAAGGCTACTCCGTAGCAGACGTACCTATGCCGTGCCTACTGTACACCTACTCCGTATTTCTGGTCCTGGTTTTTCTCTTGAAGGGATAAAAAAATAAACATATGAAACCAGAGCGAATGCATGAATGTGGAGATGTGAGAAAAGATAATACCGAAGTTGGAGTTTCTTAATGAAAACACACAAGAAAAGGGGAAATGAGAAATCAATTTGAGCCATGATACATAGTATGCTCAGCACCTGATGACGTGGTTCGCGATGTTCTTCTCGCCGTACTTGAGCCACGTGTGACCGTCTCCGTTCACGGCTGCTGGCACTGCCGGCCGCGGCGCAGATCCGGCGCGATGCTTGTTGGCGACGGCAGTGACAGAGATGATACCGGTCCCATCCGCTCCGTAACGCTCTACGGCTGTAGCCATTGTAGCTTGCGGCGGTAAGCACGGTGTTTGAAGCTCTGAAGGCTCAGTGTTCTAGTTGCTGAAATTGCATGTCACACATGTGGAGGGGGTTCTACAAAGTTGGCAAGAGAGTGGGGAAATAGGAAGTGGGGTTGGGACGAGGGAAGAAGATGGGGTGAAGGAAGAGGGTGTTCTGTGCGCTGAACATTCGACGACAATGACAGACCAGGGTTACATGTACGGTTCGCCCTGGTTTGCACGCCAACGAGAGGTGTAAAACCAGGCCTTTGGCAAATAGGGTAATCACCCTTAACGTTAATCAATTAAGAGAAATTTTCCGCCTGAAACATAGTTGGAGAGGAACCTCACACCCTTAACCGAGGCAAAGGCACCTTACCTTTGAGTTTGGTGAGTGTCCACAAAGAGTGACACTTCGACGAATCACGGGTAGTTTCTGGAGATTCCGGCCGCTATTGGGTAATCCTCGGGCCGATTCCCTAACGGAATGTCCTTGGCCTTAGTGGGAGCCCTGGAGTGAACGGAGCTCCAGCACATCCAGCAAAGCCGATGTCACATCTTGGGCATATTGGCTGCTCTGCACTCTGACAGTGTGCCAGCACCCCTGGGGATTTTTATCTGAGCTGGCGCAGCATGAGGAGGCGAATCCATTCTTCGCGCCTCGAAGCGGAGGAAAAACGCCAGTGGGGTTTGTGTGTGTGGGGGGTTGATGATATACAAAGAGTGCCCGACTTTAGAACACCCTGTCTACGAGTCGCGCTAGATGAATGTGGAAGGAATTATTGATCGGGGGGGGTGCACTTTGGGACAGAATTGGGCTGGGCATTTTGCGGACATAATTTGTACAAGGTCTCCCGAACAGGCCTCTCGCTTGGGTGATGGAATAGGCCCCAGAACTACCCGTTAGCAGACGGAATCGCCGAAAATTACCCTCGCCAGCATACGGATTCGTCGAAGGGCTTTGTCCAATACAGTCTGCCACTGAAAGGGGCAGGGCCTTTGGAGGTTGGAACCCGTAGGGACCGTTTCTCGCACTAGGTGGTCGGGAGAGTTGAAAAACATCTGGCTAACTAATCTACGAATAAACAGTCAGGTATAGGAAACTCCAGTTTCGCCGAGTTGCGAAAGTGGAGAGAAGGGAAAGGGTGGAGGTAGGGGTGATATACCACTGAGGTACAAGTGCACTTAAAATAGTATCAAAGTGTTACCCTTGGGATCAAACAATCACACGAGAATCCGTACGTGAGGTGTACGAAATCAGAAACTTTAACCCTGCAAAAGAACGGACCAGGTCAGAAACAACTCTTCATTTCATGGCATGAAGGGTGACTGCTCTTATATCCTTAGCCCAACTCCTGCCTGAACTGAATGCTGTGTGAAGTTCCGAAAATCTGCCACAGCTGCCCTCTAAGTACACGCAAAGACTACACCACCAACGACAGCTGTCAAATGGGCTCAGCACGGTCAATGAAGGCGTGGAACATTCTGAACAGAACACATGTGCAGGTTCGGGTTACATATTTTCCCAGTCTCTTGAGCGCATTCATGAGAACGCTTGCGATATGAAGTTCATGAAAAACCGGCACTGACGAACGACTAATGTTCGTCCAAGGAAAATCCCCAACAGCATTTGTGAGAGGACCTAAATGACATGTCATGGACCAAAGCCCCGTCCAGCACGCGTCAGGATGTGGGGGATTTTCGCGTCGTTAGCTACTGCGACATTCACTTTTCGCCGACCCGCAATGTGGTGTCGCGAGGTCGTTTCAGAGCCTGACATATGTTGCCAATACGAACTCTTCGATTGTGAAACTTTACCGAGCGGGCCCGGAATTGTTCGAACTAACTCCTCTTTTTTCTTCTTTTTTTGTCTGAAACGGGTAGCTCGCCCTCTGACGTCGACGTCAGCAAGGCCGGAGATCGGGGGGTAAGCAAAAACACTTCCAACACGCTCTCAGACACCGTTTCTGTCCTGGTACAGTACAATGAATATCCAAATGTGCAAAAACTGACTGTCATGCAAGGACGGCAAAGCGACTGTAACTTGGTGTACAGTATTTTGTCCAAAAGTAAGAAAAGGTGTTGCTGAGTCATCCAGGAAAAATCATGTCATCACGCGCCAAAGATGTACAGTTTTCCCATTGTTACACATCATGCTCAACGAACTGTCCATCCATCCAAGCCCCCGGGGATGTATTCAGTCCCCAATCGACAGGTTCTACGGGTATCGGCTCGAGGTGTACAGGCCTCAGAATCTGCCTCAATCTCAGGTGAGGATTTCGCCTTTGGGAAAGGGGCACAGTGGTCAAAGAAATGAAGCCTGGAAATTGCTGCCGCAGTGCATGCTGTTACCGATATTCACACAAACAACAGCGCAGACCACTATTTTGTGCAGCGTCGCTGCCAGTGTGGTAACCCTAGTCCCATGTATAAAACCAGCTCTGAGGAGGGTTTTTTGTGTCCGATACAAAATCACCAGCCTAGAAAAACGTTAATAATTTAATAATTTCCAGTGTATCTCTGAAGTCTATTCTGGTCAACTGTTCACACATGCCTTTCAGAGCCCACTGCCCAGGTCAGCAACGACCAGCTCGCAAAGGGCAACAGTGACCACAAAGATGGCGTCAGCAGTTCACACGGCAGCTTCTTGGCATAAGCCAAAATTAGGGGTGGACGAGTTCTTGTACGGATGTGAAATTGTCAACACGAAAGCTATCTGCATCAGCAGGGCTTCCTATCTTTTGCTGCTTTAAATGCACATGTCAGGCATCATTGTGTTTCGACCGGGTTACTGTACATGTTGTGACTGTGGACCCGAACCCGACAGAATCCGTACGGCACGATTTGAAGGACGGTGTGATGCAGGCCTCTCGCTAAGCCCCAGAGTATTCCGGATGGTCAAGGAATCGCCTCAGGATTACCCGTTATTGGCCGGAACCCCCCAAAAAGGCCCGTTACGTAAAGGAATCGGCCGTTACAAATTCGGCTAACAAGGAAACAAAAGCCTTGCACTCTTGGTACATAAAAGTGCTATTTTTAGTAATACTTAACTAATCACAACAATAAAAATGCCCTCTCTCCAACAGTTAACTAGGGACAGACTGCCTACACCCTATGCTACCACTAGCCAAACACTTACACATGACCAATGAAAAGTTCCTACACACTACAAGATGCTTTCATAGCCAAGTAAACGATCTCTCTATTTTCAGCGGTCTAGCACGTGGACTTATTGAATGGCTTATGATAGTAGTTTCTACATTGCAACCAATACGTGTCCAGGGATTGATCGCTCTGTGTTCTCGACCTTCCAGTTGGAGCCCATGCGGATCGTCAAATGCGCGAACTGCAGAATTCTGCTCGAGCGATTTAGAGCAGCGTAAGTGGGGTTAGGCTGGGGGGGGGGGGAGGGGGGAGGGGGAGGGGGAGGGGGGAGGGGGGGGAGGGGGGGGGGAGGGGGGGAGGGAGGGGGGGGTGGTGTTTATTAGAATTAGAATTGAATAATGTGAGAGAGAGAGAGTACACAAACATATACCTAAATGTTGTACTCTCTAGAAGGTGACCCTATACAGTCTATACAAACATGATAACTACACATGTTTGACACACCCCCTGGACTGCATAGGGGAATGTTCTAGACAAGCAGCTCAGGGTGGCACTACTAGTCCAGCCTCTGAGACAAGGGTCTAAAAGACCAGTCAGAAGGAGTACAGACAAGGCAAGAACGAGTACAGGGCGGCACTACTAGTCCAACCACTGTGAGAGGACACAAGTCCAGTCTGAGTGTATACATATATATATATACGACAGTACAAAGTCACGGCCCGAGTAAGTGAGAGACTACAGGAACCAGACCAAGTTGTAAACAGTGCCGCTGATGATCTTTAGGCGCAAGCGCCTTCGTAAAGATATCAGCTGTGTTGGCACCGGAGGCCAAGTGTACTACGCGAGCCTGGCGACGCTGCTGTAGCTCGCGCAGGAGGAAGTACCGCAGCTGGATGTGCTTCGCTCTGCCCTCGAGTCGAGGCTCCTGACACAGGAGAATCATGGCCCTGTTGTCAGCGTACAGGACCGGGGCAGAGCTAGGCCGCTCACCTAAGTCAGTGAGCAAGAAGGTCAGCCAGCGGAGCTCCTGTGCCGCCATGGCACCGGCGTAGATCTCAACCTCACAGCTGGACTGGGCAACAGACGAGGAGCGGGTAGCTCTCCACGAGACAGCACCTGAGCCAAGGCTAAAGCAGTAGCCCTGGGAAGACCTGAGCGTCTCGGCGTCGTCTGCCCAAGAAGCGTCTGTGTGTCCAGTAAGGACCACTGGCCTGCGTCCGCCTAGCACTAACCCCATGCCCGATGTACTTGCAAGATAACGCAAAACCCTCTTAGCGGCAGACCAGTGCTGAGGTCGGTGTCTGCCTGTGGCCACAAAACGAGCCAGGATGCTGAGAGGGTATGCGAGATCTGGGCGAGTGCAAGTCATCAGGTACATGAGGCAACCCACTAGCTCAGCGTAAGGACCACTGGGATCTACCGACTCCTCAGGAACTGGAGCGGAGAGTCTGTGGTCCAGAGGAAGAGGGGTGGGCTGTGCGGAGGAGAACTGAAGGCCGAACCTCTGAAGGACCTGGCGCACCAAGTGTGACTGAGTCAGGGTGATGGTGCGCGCGGCTCTGTCCCTGGAGATCTGCAAGCCAAGGTAACGGCGCAGCTCTCCAAGGTCAGTGCAGGTGTGTCTCTTCAGCAGCTCTGCCTTCACGGAGGCCAGTGCGTCCCTGTCAGCTGTGGCAAAGACCAGGTCGTCTACGTAGACGAGGATGTAGAACGGAGTCGAGCCAGCACGAACGAAGAGCGAGGGGTCTGCAGAGGACGGAAAGAACTGCAGGTCAGCAAGAGTAGCACGCAGCGTGTCGTGCCACTCACGAGGCGCCTGGCGCAGGCCGTAGACTGGGCGCCGCAGAAGCCACTGGGTCCCAGGGGGGAAGGTGCCAGTAAAGCCCTGAGGACGACGCAGGTAGACCTGCTCGTGAAGGCTGCCCTGAAGAAAGGCAGTGGAGAAGTCGAGGGAGTGAAGCTCGTAGTCACGCTGAGCCGCTACGTGTAGCAGCACCCGAAGAGTAGTCATCTTC